GCACGCCGCCGTCTGTCACAGGTGTCCGCCGCCGCAGGTACCCTCGGCGGCAGCGCCACCGCCGGCGACAACGGCGGCGTCTTCACCGATGGCAAGTACATCAAAGGCGTCCCTATTCTCCGCACCACCGGCTATTCCAGGTTTGACCGGTCAACCGGCAACCTCCTGAACGCCGACGCCAACCAAGCGGCAGCCCGGGAGGGCATAACCAATTTCCTGGTGGACTCCCAGACCGCGTACACCGCCGCCCGCATGGACCGCAACACGCGCGGGCAGCTGACATCAGAGTATACCCAGTCCGCCATCCGCGGCGGCAGCGCAGCGCAGGGCACCGCGGCGGGCAGCGGAGTGACCAACCTCTGGTCGAACGCGGCGGGCGCGCTCAAGATGGGGAGCAACACGAGGCGCGCTGAGCTGGCGGGCGACAGGACGGCCGCGGCGATCAGGGTGAGATGTGCGCGCGCTATTGGCGGCGCTATACTGTGTGTGTGCGTGCGTGCGTCTTGTGTGAGAGAGAGTGTGTGTGTATTTATGTGAGAGCGAGAGCATGTGTGTGTATGTGAGAGAGAAAGAGAGCGAGAGCGCACGCGCGCGCGCGTGTGTGTGTGTGTGTGTGTGTGTGTGTGTGTGTGTGTGCACACACGTGTGTGTATGTGTGTGTGTGCGTGTGTGTGCGTGTGTGTGTGCGCGCGAGCGTGCACACGTGCACGCGCGCACGCACGCGAGAGAGAGAAGGGGGTCATGCCCAGCAGGGGCAGGGCTGTGATGGGGCGCGTTGGTGGGGGTTCGTGGGGGGCCAGTCGGACTGGGCAAGGCGCTGGCCCGCCTCTGGCTGGATGCCTGGCGCGTGCGCCCGGCCGCTTGCCCCCGGCCGCCTGCCTTGCACCGCGCCCGTGCGCTGGTGGCTTGAGCCCCAAAGTATCGGCCCGCTGTACCCTGCCCCATTACAGCAATTCTGCCTCGATACCAAGTTGTCGCGCCCGCCTGCAAGCTTGGCACGACCCAAACCCGTCTCGCCTGGCCGCCCAACCTTGGCACCCGCGTGTTCCACAATCGCCCGTCTGCAGGCCTCCCTGGACAACCCCAATGACGCGTTCCGCGCCACGGCCACTGGCGCTGTCCAGGCCAATTCAGTCGCTTGGAGCCAGAACTACAACGGCTGGTGAGCGGTGACACCACGAAACATCAGAGTAGCGCGTCCCGCTGTTGTGCCCAATTTGCAGGGATGCGGGGCCAACACCTGCGCTCGGCTGCGCCATTCAAGGCAGAGCACAGCCATTGCTGCTCGTGTGGTTTGAGCCGACCTTGCCGCATCGCAGGGCATGATCCCTATACTCACTGTATTGAATCTGCCGACTCCACTTTTCCTGCTGATTTCAAATTTGCAGGTCCCGCTGAAGCGCTACAGCTCATTGGAGCCCTGCGACTCCCGCCCTGCCGATACATCAGCAGCATCACCCGCGCGTTGTACGAGGTCGGAGGACGATCTGCCCGGGTTGCCTGCCGGACCGGAGCCCAATCGTAACCGACCAGCTATGTGTTTCCGGTGAATGCACCGGGCGGCATGCCGTGTATCATGCAGACTGCGTGCCAGGCACGTGCGGCGCACGCGCACAGCACGACGGCCTCAGTGCCAGGCGGTGCTGCCGGGATTGCCTATCCGCGCGGAGCCACGGCTGTTTTCAGCGCACGCTGTAAGCAAAAGGCGCCGCTGTATGTGCCGATTGCACATGGCATTCCTGGCAGTCTTTGCTTCAGAAACATGCATGATTTACTTCAGCTGGGCCATCACGATTACTGAACGATGATTGGAGTGGCGGCCCTTAACTTGGCCAAGTTGGCACAACCCGCAGAGCCCAGGCTTCGTTTCATTCGCTACTTCGCCAGTGTACATCAGCTTGCGCACGCGGCTGCCAAGCCCGTGGCGGTTGGAAAAGCTTAAGTGTAAACGGTTTGGTCTTGAGTCTTTGGCAGTCCACTTGAACCGATGCACTTTTGTACCTTCTGCTATCTACTGCTGAGGCAGGGGCCAGGGGCCAGGGGGCAGGGCGCACGGGGCGGGGAACAGGGGAAAGTGCGAATAGGAGAGGTGCAAATGCAAGCCGAGCAAGCATCGATGAGTACCCTGCCTGCCACAGCACCTTGCGTCGCATTACGCCACCGGGGCCCAGGAGCGATGGCAGGCGTGCGCCAGCAGTCGGGAGGGTGGAATTACAAGCCGCAGTGCGTGGGACCATGCGCTGGCGTATCGGACTAACACGCTTTGCTTGATGGTACTGCATCCGCGAACCTGCGCGCTGCGCTGCACTTTGTTTGCACCCTCGTTCCCGCATGTGCGCCTCTGTGCGCAGTGAAGCCCAGCACACACTTGGGGTCTTCGTGCATGCCTGCTTTGAACGGCACCCCGCCGGTGGCCTTTGGAATCCCAGTCAAACAACGCTGAGGCTACAAAGTCACATCCCATCATGAGCCTGGACGACTCCAGGAGCGGGCGACCGTGGGATCATCAAGATTGTTGCAAGTAGTAACAATCCAATTAGCTAATCCCAATCCAAGTGCAGTTGATGTCCTTGACCGCCCGCAAAATGGTTTGAAAATGCCATGTAGAGTCGCGCATGGTTGCATGCCGCCACCTGCCCTGTTGTTTAACCAAACCAACTACGAACCTCACTTTGCAGAAAATGACGCGCGCGGCACACGGTGGGGCACGCAGGGTGGGTGGCAAGGTGGTGCTGCACGGTCAATTTCCACTGCCAGCAAGGACATACATTGCATCTTTACCCAGCCTCCAGCCCTGCAACGCGCACAATCGTTCTGCTGAAGGATGTGGTAGAGTCACACAATATGAAGAGCTTGGGGAGTGACAACTTGGCAGCTACCGCACGCATGCAGGGATCAACCGCCAGTTGGCGGGTAAGCAATGCAATTTTAGCGCTTTTGAAAAAATCAGGTGTCGGGAAAGGACCGATCCGCGGGCACCTGATGTGCTTGACCGAGTTACAAATGGTGTCATCGTCCAGGCCGATGCTCTCCCGAGACCAGGCGCAACCTGTTGCAGGCGTGCGTTGCCTCAGCACTCCGAAACAAGTAATGGTCAAGCAGCACACCTGATCACCTCGCTGACCCCTACGACACAACTTCCTGGCTCATCTCGCGGCCTGGGTGCGCAGCACAGGCTGTCGGACGACGAAGCCGAGAGAGAGAGAGAGAGAGACTACGCAGGCTGTGACGCCCGCGTAAA